TCCGATTGGAAACGTCGAAAAATACTTCATCATATACAAGATAAACGCAATCGTGCATCCAATAAACGTCGAACTTTTTTTCAAAATAATTGGGAACCAACCATACAATGTGAATTTGAACGACGAGTTGGTAATATTGGTGATGGTGGAAAATGGGTTTGTGATATACATCGTTTTGGATCTATGAATACTACAAATATACTGGTTTATTCATTGGGTTCGAATGGTGATTTTAGTTTTGAACGTGCAATTAAAGAACTATTTCGAAATGCAGAAATTCATACATTTGATAAGAGATTATATAGATGTCCTGAAAATGTTTGTACATTTCATCAGGTTCGCTTAGGTAATGGAAAAAATGATAGTTCAAAATCTTTACAAATGGTTATGAATGAACTTGGTCATCAAAATCGACAGATTCATATACTTAAAGTTGACATTGAAGGTGGTGAATTTAGTTTTTTTGAAGAACTATTTCAGTCTTCAAATAATGATCAAAGGGATTTACCTTATATTCGTCAAATTCTTTTTGAAATTCATCTTGGTGCTGATAGAAGTGAATCATCATGTCGACGTGCACATAAGTTATTTGAATTATTTCGTTCCCAAAATTTTGCAATATTTCATAAGGAAGCTAATGTAGCTAATGCACAAAATCTTTTTGAATATGCAATGTTACGTTTAAATCCATCATTTTTCATATCACCGTTATAATTATTGAAGTTTAATCAGAATTTTTCATTTGTTATCTCGTATTTGTTTTGTTTTTGGTAGAACCTATATTATTTAAACAGAAAATAAAATGAATTGAGTTTTCATACAATTTTAGTACACACTGTTCTTATGTGAAAACAGTTGTATTATTTATAAATAAAAACAGAAAACAGTATATTAATCAAATGATTGTAGACATGTAAAGAATATGTCTCAATAAATGATATAGAATATCAGCTTTGAATGATTGTTTTATTCATGATATTGAAATAAGAGAATATTTTCACAATACCTCTCAAAATAATATGAAACGAATAACAGCAATACATGGAAACATAATAACATTCCAATTTGAATCATTATAATATTTTATTTTATTTGATCAGTTAGAGACTAGTTGTTTATAATACAATCACATGTCGTGTCATAATAAGCTTTGCAACTATTGTACAAGTCCGAGCAGAATTAAAAGTTAGAAAGAGGATGACAAAGACGTTTCCTTCGTAAAATTTTCGAACGTTTTGAAAGGCTTCTAACAGTCTCGCGAAAAATTTATGATAGGAAGGAAATATTAACTCAGCTTTTGACGGATAATAGTACGAAGATGTTTTCTCTCAGACAGAATGTCATAGAAAGTCGATTATTTTATTAACAAAAAATAGAAGTTCTAGCTAGATCTATATTCCGAACATATTTATAACATTTACACTATGGATATGCAGAATTCAACTATTGTTGCACAGTTGATTATGGTTTTCTAGAAATAGTATTACAACGATGTATTACTTAAAGTCTTGCTAGATGTCTTGTTTTCCATAGTCTATATTCTATTTAATTGTTTTTTTTGCATATATATACGAAAAAATACAAATAATAAGACAAGAAATTAAAATACGATTAATATGTATTTGTAATGAATTTCTTATATAGATGAACATATAGTTTGTATTAGATGAATTTTGGAAAACGAGTGAAATTCTGTACATCCGCAGTGTTGATGATATTGAAATATTCAAAGTATAGACATACGTACTTATGAGAACTTCAATTTATGTTGATTTTGTAAATATGTACAGTCAATTAAGATGCCTTCAATGTTAAAGTATTCAATATTAAAAATTTAACTAAAGCAAAAATAAAAATTTTCGAAATAACAGTTCATCATCATTTTTCTAAAATTAATATCGACCTAACTTCTCAAAGATAATCTATAGGAAAGAACGCATTATGCCATCGTCATCAGTTCATTAACATTTATAAATTTGACACATAGCTAATTGAAATCCGAGGATCACGTTTGGTCATGTGCACAGAAAATGCTAGATATTAATGAAAAATAACTTGAATATAAACTCGACTAGATCTTAGACGATCAGTTGTATAATCATTGTTATTGTATTATTAAATTTCGAATACATTTTTATTTTCACTTATTTATACATTCTATATCTTTCATTCAATTTAAAATCAATCGGAAAAAAAAAACTTTGAATAGTTTTAAAATCTATCTACATTATCAAACTTGTAGGAAAAAAATTAACAATAAACTAATTCAATTACTTCATCATAAGAATGAAATAAAATTAAATAGTAATAATAATAATTTTTTTTTCAACTTTGATATTCATTATTATTATTTTTTTTTTTTGTACAATCTTCCGGTGAATGTTTGTCTATATGTTTACAGAAAATATATCACAGCTACATTTGTTTGTTTTTTTTTTGAGCGACAAATAGACAGCAAAAACAAAAAACAACATGAAGAAAATGATTTATCTGACAAATACATTTCATCGACGCACACATACATGATACAATACGGTGCTTTCAAATTTTTATTCTCGACTAGGACAATGAATAATAAACGAACATAAACCAAGGTTAAAGAAAACAAGAAAAAAAAAAACAATATTTCGTTTGTTCTTTTTTTTTACATGAAATTTAATTATAAATAAAGTTGAATCGACTAAGTGCCTGTGGTAAACTTGATATAATTGGACCATAACCAGAAGCATTATCATATAATTCAAATAGAGGTGCAGCAACTAATTTATAATTACGTGGAACTGCAAACATTGAAGATTCACCAAGTTGAACAAGATATAATCTAATTTAAAAAAACAAAAAGTAAATATGTAATTTTCTTTTGTTTTACTTTACCGAATATGTTCTTTTGGTTTAGTTATATGAGCAGGTACATATGGATAACGTGGTGCTTCAAAATTTGGACGCCACCAATTACCAATAACATCTTCAACAAGCCAATTATTTTGTTGAGTAGAATCTGGTCGTCCTAATGTTTCATTTAATAAACGTTTAAGCCCTTCAATTGAATCTTCACCGGGATTAAGTTCTCCACCTGAAATTATTAAAAAATAGAAGAAAAAAAAAAACAATTTTTGTTTTGTCAATTTTATGTTTTCTTTTCTTTTCTTCTTACCAGGTAATTTAAAAAATGTTGTACCTAACTGAAGAAGTAATACATGAGGTAAATTATGTTCATGTACTAATAAAACAGCTTCAACACTACGTCTCATACCCATAGTTGTAAATTCTTCTCTCATACGTTGAAATCTTGCTTGAACAGAACTATCACGTTCATATAATGCATCTTTTGTACCAAATGTATAATTTGTTAATGGATATGTTTGAATTGTTCGTTCTAATGCCATTGTTTGAGTTGGATGAATAAATGTTCGATTAGTATTATTATTATTATTAGTAGTAGTAGTAGTAGTATTTGATGATCTTGGTGATGTTACCATAGAATTTGTATTATTATTTTGATCTGTTATTGTTGTTGACGATAATGATGATACTATCGGTGTTGTTATTGATACGGATGTATTTGTATTATTAGTAGATGTTGGAGATGATGATGATGATGTTGTTGTCGTTGAATTCATTCCTGGCCAATTAGTACGAACAAGTTGCGTAGAATTATTTGTTAAATTTGTTGCTACAGACATAATTTTTATAGGGGATAAGATATCAATAAATGAAATCAATATGTAAAGCGAAAAAAAAAACAAGGTTATTTTAACAATTGATTTTGAACTAATGTTGTATTACTGAACAAAGAAGCAACAGAAAAACACACACACACACAAATCAGTCAATCAAATAAAAATAAACCAATCATTGATAATATTATTCTCGAAATATAAGAAACTGTATAATAGTGACAACTATTGAAAGTTAAGAAAATTCAGCTCTTTCTAATCTAGATAGAGAAAAAAAAAATTCAGGAAACAAAAATTACATTAAGAATAGGGAAAGACAACAAATTACCATATTTTCTATATCTGTAAAAGAATTATTAGTATTGTAAGCATCAATAGATATAATAAAATAAAGCATACTCCAAAATAACAATATTATCTAATGATGGTCTCAGTTTGGAAAAAAAATATATTTCAAGGACTATTATCACTTACACTGTTGTTTTCAAACGTTTCGTTTCAATCTAGAGAATTAAGCAAACGATCTAAAACTAATTGAAATCAAATAAATAATAATCAAATCAATTTCTCATATATGAATAGCATTTCAAGAGTTTTCTTGCTTAGCTAAACAAACATATATGACTGAGGGCACTTGAAATAACATTCATGCATTTTTTTTTTACGTTGGAAACTAAAAAAATATTTATTTATCTAATAGAATAAAAAAAATCTTTATATATATATATTTCTATATTTCATCAATTATTATTTCTTTGATTTAGAATTTTTATTATCATTTTAATGAAATACATCGAATCACACGTTTTTTTTTATATCATAAAACGAAAACGATGAATAAAACATGCACACAAGTATCGGACATGATGATTTTCAATAGAAAAAAAATTATTCAAAATCGTTTTTTATTTAAGATTTGATAGTCCAATTAATTTACTAAGATATAATAAAATCCAAGCAGCATGCATCGTTAATGATATTACTTCATGTGGTACATTTCCAATAAATGCACATTTTAAATAAATATGATCACTAAATGTTGCTGTTGTAAAACAAATTGCCATTGCACCAAAAAAAGATCCAAAACCAATTAATGAATAAAAGAGCCAATCAAGATTTGGTATTTCTTGTCGTTTACTCATCCATAATGATAAACGAACACCAAATGCCATCGAAAGTATTTTAAATATTTGTTCAATACATAATTGACCAGTTACGATATTTGTTGTATCTAATCGAAAATCAGATGTATAATAAAAAATATTTATTAACCATTCACTTGTTAATGTTTGATATTCATTACAAAGAAAAATTAAAAGGAAATTTATAGAACCACATAATAAACCAGTTAAACCTGGTGGTAAATAATCTCCATGATACAATAAATCATATAATTCATCTGATGAATGTCCTGGTGATAATGATTGTTCACTTGTTTCAAATAAAAGTAGTAATAATATACTAATTGTAATTAGCATAAATCGTCCTATATTATTTAAACTTTGTTTATCACTTGATGTTGAAGCTAAAAGAAAAACATACAAAAGAATTTAATCAGTATTTTTTATTTTCTTTATTTAAATAGAAAACAAAAACAAAATATATCTTACGAGAATTATTATTTCTATTAATCTGCGAAACACTAATCCGACTAAATAAAAGTCCACCAAAAACATGATAAAACACATAAGCTATATAACTAGCTGCAATACAATAAAAGAAAATAATAGGATTTATAGCTAAATATATTGGTAAATATGATGGACAAAAACCAGTTAATATCATTGATATGCCTAATAAATAACTACCTATTTGTATATCCATTATATTACGATTTTTATAACGATTTTCTATCGATGAATATGCTAATAAATATTTATTTGGTGTGATTTTACTTAAAAGATAAGGTATACTCAAAAAAATAAAACTTGTTGCAAGATAAAATTTAAATAAATCTGTTTTCATAAATAAAATATTTCGATCAAATGTATATGGATAATAAAGCTTGCTTTTTTCAAATATAAATCCATGTAATGCATGAAGAATAATACTAAATAAGAATTTTTTATTGCAAATTAATTTTAAACTACCGTACAACATTTTTGATTTTTATTTTAAATTATTTATCAAATCAAAGACATTGACTCTTTCTGCGTTATTTCTTTTTTTCTTGGTTTTTTTTTCGTTCACTTGTCCTTTAATATTACGCAGTCATGCATGACGCATATGTTAGTATACTTATCAAGTTTTTTTTTTTATTGGTAAATAGAAACGAAAATAAATTCTAGTAATTAGATTAGAGCATATATAACAATTTTAAAATGCGTGCATATTTGATTTCAAATGAATAAGCAAGCTCTCGTTTCATAGAATTAGGATCCGATAAGATTGTCTTTTTAATCGTCAGTATTTTTTTCTAATCTCGCTCGTTGTAAACAGCATAAGATTCCAGCATACTTTATGATAAACACGAACGAGGAAGAAAGACTCCCGCCGATCTGCAATACTTGTCATTACTATTTCTCTTGTCATTCTTTCTTTTGCTTGAAGAAAAAAGGAAAGAGGATAGAGATAGCTAACGCCCAATCTTTGTATGTTAGCCTTGTATGCACGCTTCTAAAGTCTGCATACACAATCACCAACATCACTACCACAACTACCAGCATTACTCTCAGCACACGGGAACAAGAAAAGAGGATCTTTTCAGTTCTCTCGAGAACGATGCCGTGCGTCACTCATCATAGAACATTTTTTTTTCAAATTACGTTCTAAGAACGAGCATCGAGAGAGAATCGGAGAAAGAGAGAAAAACAAGAGGAAAACGAATCAAGCTTGCTCGTGTAAATGTGAGTGTGTGCAAGAACTACAACATATTGATGTTGATATTATCAAGTGCCTGTGACGTTACTGTCGAATCACATCACCATGAATCCTCAGGCACCGGCACCAACAGGAGCACCGCTTCGAGCATCGTCTCCAGATTTCTCTTCACTCTCATATGAAGAACTTGAACAATTAGAAGTTGTTCTACAGAAACAGGCTTTGATTGAAAATGAACAAACACGACGTTTGGCTGGTTTACGGCGTACTATGGTTCATCTTCAGCAAACAATTGATAATGATCAAAAACGATCACGAAATTTTTCATTATCTACTTCAAATAATTCTTCACCTGTACAAACAAATCAACCTATATTAACATCATCTGATATTGTTGAATGCTATATTTGTTTATCAATAATTGAAATTCAAACAAATAATTATAATCTTTCATCACCAATACTTTGTGCTGATTGTCATCGACCTGTTTGTCGACGATGTGGAAATTATACATCACCAGAATTTACTCTACCACATTATCCAATACATTCAGAAAATCAAAGTCAGGCATCAAAATGGCGCTGTCGTATGTGCATTGTACGTCGTGAAGTTGTTCGGAAGTCTGGTACGTGCTTGAATAAAGAAAAATAATCAGCAAATATATATATACATATCTTGAAAAAACGAATAAAGACGTCTTTTACATATATAAATAAAGTGAATCACAAAAGTTTAAGACACTTTCTACTTTATTTCTACTTATTCGATACTTAAATATCTTGAGAGTCATATGTGTGATGAAACATGCATTGTACAGGAAATTACAACGTATCATTCGATAGAAAAAAATTCTATTCTACAAAATACACTATTTTCCAGAGTTCTGAAGTTCTTATTTGAATCTTAATTTGCTTAATTATTAATAGACTATTACTGAATTTATAAAAAAAAGTGTTTCAAAAAATTCTATTGTAGTTATTTACTGCGAAACAAAAAATACTCAGCTTTGTTCAGTTTTCAATGCTCTTTCTAATGGTATAATTGAAAATTAAAAACCACGAAAATAAATTGTGTTAATTGACTAATTAATTTGAGCTACTCATTATTAATATTTAATTATTAAAATCGATAATTAAGAAAAAATTTCTATATCAAAATGTAGCCCGTTCAATTCTTTATCTAATGGTATATTTTAGTGGATTTTTTTCTGTTTTCAATAACGATAAAATCGATAACATACGAAAAGTGTCTTAAACTTTTGACTATAGAGAAAAAATTGTATTTCGCTGAACATTTTCAGCTAACGGCCAATTTGATGACGCATAAATGAGCCATGTAGACCTCAACCCTTCCTACATATATATATATATATATATATATATATATAAAGATATTTATTTTTTCTTTCCTTTAAAAAAAGAATTACAAAAAATAAAAAGTGTCTTAAACTTTTGTGACCCATTTTACGTTCAGATTTATTTTAAAATAAGATGCATACAAAAGCAAACTAGTCAAAATTAATTTATTTTTCTCACGAATAATTATGTTTTGCCCCTTTTCTTGGTTTTTTTTCCTTTTTTTCTTTTCCATTAAAGGAAAGAAGAAGACGAAGAAGAAAAAAGGTGTCTCATTGATGGCACCTTTACTTGGTTTAGTTATTCCTTTGATTAAGTCTTTTTCTTTTTCAACATATTTCACGAATAACATAAAAGACAAGAATGAATCTTTTTCGAGGTACATGGAATATGAATGATAATGAAACATCAAATCATTCGCCTATACGTTTATTACAAAAATTAGCTGCTTATCGTGCATCAATTACTTCAACATCAATGTCATCATCATCACCATCACCACTAAATGAACATCATTCATCAATTTTTAGTGAATCAACAAATTTTATTGCACGTCTATGGCGTCCATCTCCTTCACAATCAACGCCATCACCAACTTTAATTGCTTCACATGAAACAAAATCATCATCATTTGATCATATACCTGAACCATGTTCTACATCAATGGATGCATCATCCAGTTTATCATCACCAGCTATGTTAAATCGTCGTATGTCATTCATACGTAATGTATCAGCAAAAAATCCATCATCTAATCAAATTTCTGTGCAATCATCATCTATGGTAATAGCATCTCCAATAATGCCATTACTTCAAGCACAACCGACAACATCAAGTACAGTAACAGATCCTTCATTCGAAGATACAACATCTGAACAACAATATGATACCAATAGTGAATTATTATCTCAAAGTTTAGAAACAAATATTAATAGTAGTAATCCTCATTTAATTGATAATCAAGATAATGAGAGAAATTTTCGACAACAATCATTAATATATGATGAACAACATAAAAAGTTAGATTTAATATCAAAACCAATGAAATCATCTGTTGAACAATTATCATCATTACCGATGAGAGTTATTGAACAATATCATCATCATGATAGTCTTCCTTTATCAGAACCTAGTATCGATATTAGTACGGTAAGTTCAAGTCATCTTTAGAAATTATTTAAAAAAGCTTTATATTTTAACTAATTATTAGAATATTATTCTTATCTTATTACAGCTATGTAGTCACTAAGCTAAAAAATACTTCGTCATAGTAATAGTTATTTTATGTCCTTGTCCTGTCTATCATAGAAAGAAAACATACACACAAACAGGTACGCAGAAAGTCGTAGAAATTCTTTTTTTTACAGAGTACTCACGCTTGAAGAACAGGAAATAAAAGAGAAAGATATAATGATACAATACAACGTCGATGTTTCTCGTTCTAGATACTTATTTAAAATTAGTATTTATTTTTTTTCTGCTTCATAATTAGCCACAAGTCATCGAAAGAATGAAAAAGAAAGAGACAAGCAATCAAAAATATCTATACCTGTCTGTCATATAAAAAAAGCATTTATGTCATTTAAGATATGCAAATGAGAAATAGTCTCAAATGAATTCTCAGATAGTATTTATATTCATTTAGAAATTATTCTTTAAGATTTCTATACGAAATGAAGATTGACATAAAGAATAATATTAATCATCATAAGATGTTAATTTTTCCTATTATTTTATTTTATTTATTTTGTTTTGAAAGAAAAAAAAATCCAAGAATATTCGTTCATTGTGTTTTTATTACTTTTTTTCATCAGGCCATGGATTTTTCTTCTATTTCCATGTTAACAGAACAATCACCAAATAGTAGTAGTGGAGAACATTTATTAACAGAAAATGAATCCATATCTGCTGATATACCTAGGACAGATAATAATAATCGTCGACGAACAAGTCGTTCAAGTTTAAAAAATTCAGATACATGGGCACGTAAAAGAGCATTATTGCATCGTGGTTATCAATGGACGACAACATTAGATAGAGAACCTTCAATAAACAATAATAATAATCAAATAACAGAATGTCATTTACCGAATAATGTAAAATCTTTACCAAATTCTATAAATAAATCATCACCACATACAAATCAAGAAGACAATCTTTCATCATCTGAAATACCAATGTTAACAGATTCAAATTCGAATAATACTTCTTATAATTTATTTCGTCGACGACAATCATCTCGTCGTTTACCTGATTTACCAGCTATTAGTACAACTAATAAAAATTCATCAAATAATGATGTAATAAGAGCTGATTTAACATTAACATCATCATCACATTCATCAACTGAATGTCCATATCAACCATTACGAGAAAATTCTCTTAGTAATTATCCAAATCGTTCAAAAAGTATTGATTCAGAATCATCACTTAAAAGTCGTTCATCACATATAAAATTATTACATGCACATCAAACACAAAATGCCAAATCAATTGATATATCAAATTTAGCACGACAAAAATCTTTTCTTATTGTTAATAATACTTTATTACCACAACGGTCACTTGATTATCCATGTATTGTTCGTAAAGCACAAGATTTATCAGATATTGTTCGAACACGAATGTTATATTCAAAAATGAATAAACAACAACAAGGAAATCATTTTTCTATAAGTCTTGAACGTGAACATGTACCAAAAGTTCCAAGAAAAATTATTATACGACAAGATAATAGTATTGAAATTGCATTAAGGTAATTTTGAAATTATCGTAGCAATAATGATTTGTATTTTCTATCCAAAATAATAATGCTTTCTTTTTCCAAAAACAAAAAATACCAATTAATAATAGATTTAAGAGTCTTTTTATCAAATGTGTTGTATAATTTTAATCTTTTCCTTTTAAAAGTCAACCACCTAAACTTCGACGAAATACTGTATCAGAAGATTATTATTATGGTTATAATCCAGAAGCTGATTTTGGTATATCACAAACAGCTGGTACTACATCAACACTTGGCTTACCATTGTCTGCTTCGATGTCAGGTTCAGTAAGTGGTGATCGACGTAAAACAATAGAAACATGTGAAAATATTTATTTACATGCTGAAGAAAGTTCAAAATTACGTGCACGTACACCACCATCAAATCCACATAGAATATTACTTCATCGAGATAAAAATGATACATCAATACGAACAAATGGTCTTGGAATGCGTATTGTTGGTGGACAAGAATGTGAAGATGGAAGTCTCGGTATAAATTGTTTTTATTTTATTAAAAATAAAAATAAAAATTTTTTCATTTCATTTATTTTTTAAGGATGTTTTGTAACAAATATTTTATCCGGTGGTCCAGCTCATGTTCAAGGTAATATTGAAGTTGGTGATCAAATTCTTGAATTTAATGGCAATTCTTTAATTGATTCAACTTATGAAGAAGTTCGAATGTTACAAGATCAATGTGGTGATATTGTACAATTAGTTGTTCAACATAATAATATACGTTTACAAATTAATGGTGGACAAACATTATCATCTATAGAAGTTTCAAGACATTTTGAAACTGTACCACGTTTATCATCATCAATAACACGAAAACGACGAAATTTACCTCCATTACCATCTTCATTATCATCATCATTTCCTAAACAACCAAAACGACAATTATATGAAACAGTTGAAACACTTGAAGTACCAAATGTTAAAGAACTTAAACCAATTTTAATTAATCGTGGACGTTTATTAGGTAAGTTATTAGATATTTCAAATGAATTTATCTATATAATATGAATTCATTTTTTCTTTATGAATGAATGAATGAATGGATCTTTTGATTCTGAATAGAATTTTCTGTTTTTTGTTTTTCTTTTATTGAGGTAACAAAACAAGAACAAAACGGATTAGTCTTTTTTATAAGTAGATTATATCCTAATCCATTTATTCATAATTCATATTCAAAAATCTATTATGCATAGATTCTATTGAAAAAGATATTCATCTAATAAAAATAGTTACACCTCATTATCAACATGATTTAAATCGATTTTTATTCTTTTCATTGAGATAATTTGAATATATAGTTTGTTAATTAGTTTTTACAAAAGTCAACAATGTAGAAAAATGATATTTCATATCGAGTTCATATGATTAATCCTATCGCATTATTCATGCATATATACGTTATTAAAAAAAGAGAAGATAAATGAATAAAGAATTAGTATTATTATCTATTCTTTTGTATAAGAAAAAGGTTTTCATCAATCATATTTTAAATCAACTAAATGTCAAAAGCA